TTATTTTTTACGGTAAAATTCCGGCAACCACAGCTGCCGTTTTTTTACCGTATATTTTACGGAATTTTTTTTGTGTATTTATAAATGACTATAGTATTTTTTCATGTGGATGAGGGAGACATACAAAATGTACAGGGCTGGGGGCCAATAAGGGCCCAAGAGTTCAATATGACCTACATCATGGTCATGGAGTGGCCTTGTCTAGTATGAATATGTTTAGGTTTAAGAAACCTCCATGGAGAATGCCTCAACGGGAGGACGGTATGACATGTTATTTGGCAGGTCATTCACACCACTAACATTTGCTGTGAACATGGTGTCTTCCATCAAGTATAAAACTGGAGAACTAACCCACCTGGAATATCACTTGGCCCACTCTTCATCTCAAATCTGGAGCCGGGCCTGCTTTGTGAGACGGTAAATTACTTCACTGAAACACATCCTGTATATCGTCAACATGCTGTGGTAAAGTATTAAACATTACACAAAATCTCTTCCCTTCAGGCACAAAAGTGTACTGCCCACCAGTCGATGGCATCGATGGCAGGTACTACGCAAAGCCAGCAATATACTCCTGTTTGTGATGCTGTGTGGGTAAGCCCACAACGCCCACAACTTGCACGTCAGTGAGAGGGACTGGTCCAAACCTGGCCTGTCACAAAGTGAGATCTTCATCAAAGACCGTCCTTTAGAATATGGATGCCAGTATCAGCCTATCAGTACTGGCCTGGAACTGGGCCTGCATAGCCCTTGAGGCTTTTGCAAAAGTAATTTCTGTCACTTCAGGTTTTTCTTTTTTTGCGCACAAATGTACACAAATATTCAGAAATGTCAAAATGACATAAAAAAATTGTTCACTTCACAAAAACATATACCATGTAAACTTGGCATAATTTGAAGTCAACGAGTTAGCCGTATAGATTTACAAAGCACATTTAGCCTAATGTTTGTTTAATTTGACAACACATACAGTACATTGCACAAAATGCTTATGGATGGGGGTGGCTAACATTTTTACAGAAATGGTTACCTCCCGGGTATAATTATAATTTCTACACCTATCATTTTTGCACTACAAAATGTTGAAAAGGATGTCATTAAATGAAATGTAATTATTAACCTTTAAATGCATGAATGTTTCACCAATAATTATTACATAGTGCCGGACCTATATATCCAGCACGGATGGATCTCTAACTGCTGCAATAGCAAAAAAACTCTCTTGATATTTTAAGAACAATTACATAAGAATAAAATAAAGCATATTTTGTTATCTTTTGAAACTTAGAAGGGATCAATTTGAGCAGATGATTTTACCATCGCTGTCATCGTCAGAGCGCACTTCTACAGTACATTCAGCATCTGCCTCATATTGGCGTTCTCAGCCATATTCTCAAAACTATCGTTTTCAAACATCTAATTTAGGCATCTAAATCTAATTTTCAAACATTTTTGTATTTGTGAAAAATATGAAGTAATGTGACAATATTGACATTTAGCATATAAATCCACATATTAAACAGGTTACCACTTTTAATGTTTTGATGCAAGAATAATATACATGCACATAAATTCATAAATTATGTTTTCTTAGATTATCCGCTGACTGCGTACTAACAATAATAGAAACAATAATGTACAGTATGTGGAAAATAATGTGTTTTTTGAACCTTAAACCACATAAACACATTTCATTACACCAAATACACAAAATAATGTTCTTTTTAGCAACATCATATGACCCCTTTAAACAAAGTGAACACCCAGCAAAAGCGCTACCCTGACTATCCAGCAGGGAGTGCACCATGAATGGCAAATTGCATAAACCTGTACCTTTCACCAATTGACAGTTGAAGAAGGCCTTTATGGTTATCTGTTAGTGAGTGAAAATAATGAGAGAAAAAAAGGGTCACTTGTGTGTGTGTGTGTCTCTGGTTTAGCTATACTCTACATTATGGGGCCAAAATGTCCTTAATGATGGCATCATCCAAAAATCCTTGTCCTTGTGGGGACATTGTTGGTCCTTACGAAGAAAACAACCTTATAAATCATACAGAATAAAATTTTTCAAAATCTAAAATTGCAGAAACTTTTGTGTGAGGGGTAGGTTTAGGGTACAGGGATAGAAAATACAGTTTGTACAGTATAAAAGCCATCACGTCTATGGAGTATGTCCCAATAAAACATGGAAATCCAATATTTGTGTATGCTTAGACAGTAGAATAATCCTTTTTTTGTTTTGTTTTTGTTTCCCTTTATATCATTAATTATGAAGCACAATATATATATATATAAATTATGATGTAGCTACAATTGGTGGTTAGATGCATCACTGTTTTGATAATTATCTACAAAAAAACCCAAAAAACAAATAGTTTATAGTTTTAAAGATTTACTTGCAAAATTCCTATGAAAAGCAGGCAGTTGCTGTTTGTCTCTTTTTTGATGCAGTTATTTGAGAGCTAAATTGGAACTATATTGGAAATATTTACTTACTTATTTCGACACCAAATGCATAATCAAATCAGACAGAATGTATAATAAATGCATACATGTTTATGGGAAACTTTTTGTGGAGTTGGCATGCAGATATGGACCTGCTTGTTTAGTATAACATATATGTCATGTTTTAGTAATAATAATGGATACATCTCTGCTATTATGTAAAACTTAATAAAACAGCACAGTAGCTGAATGCAGTATAGAGTCTCACAATAGAGAGTAATTGAATAGTAAATAGTTCAGAGCATAGATTCCATTTTTCCATCCACGCTTGCCTCTTTTCCTCCCTCTGCATGAACAGGAAGTTGGGCACAAACATGGAGGAAATCTGGAGCCACTAGTAAAGCCTGGTGGATTCATTAAGTTCTTCATTGTCTTATGAGGCGTTTCTATCCCTTCCATGGCCACAGGGTTAAGAAACGAGATCTTTCCATGTTATTTTTAATGTGAAATTAATTCAAACAAAATCGGTCTGATTTTATAACAAATATGCAAGTCACACAACACCAAATGACCCTTCAAGACCAACAATCAAATGTGTATTTGATGAGAACAGTCTTATCTAATAGAAACAATGACATGAGATTATTGGCCCAAGATCTTTAATTGTCTGATTTAGGATGAACTGGGTTTTACAACAACAGACAGCTTTGTCTCTTGTGCATACACGCTCTTATGCATGTAAAAGACTTGCCACAACACCACAGCAAAACAATCAAACACAGCAACAAATAACTAGTAACTAGATAATAAAGTCAATCTTTAACATTTTATTTCCATGTTGATGTTTCACTTTTGAGCAAGAAACGGCTGAAGCCAGTCCACCAGACACTGACTAGCTTTTTACTAGCTGCCTCAGGAGACTTGTGATATCCTTTGCTATTTACTCAGTAACAGGATGTTAACCTTTATTCTGTTGCTTTTTTGACTAGCTGCTTTATATCCACATGTGGGATCAAGGTTGAATAGTTCTCAATTAAGTTTAACAAGGCGATATCCCTGCAACCATCTCCCAACTTTATCTCTCCCTTCAAGACAACACAAATACAATAGAATGGTTTGTGGATAGACACCCTGCTTTTAAACCAGTGTAAAATGTACCTTTACCTGGGGTTTAGAATGGCGATAACCCAGGGTCAAGAGTGCAGTTTGAAAATTATTCAAAATAATTCATCTAGATTTCCAATCATTGTAACATCCATTATAATTACCACACTGTTTTGAAGGACTGTTCACATAAACTGATGTTATAAATCTGGCTGAAAGGCTTACAGAACACAGCACATCTCAAAAATGGGGTTAGGGGTCACATCTTACAAACACTTCACCAGACAGCACTGCTCCTGAAGAGGACAGGGTGAGACAGGATCCATGCAGGAGTGGGAATTGATGATATTTGATAAAGTTGAAGCAGCTCATTCGTCAAATCGACCCTCCAGGATACTCTCGAAGGAAAACGGGACAAACTTGAAGCCCTGTCCTGTGTAGAATTTGTTCTGGAACTCCACCCTAAATGGCAGGAAGGACAGGACAAAAGCATGCAATGTCAGAGCTGTGATGAGCGGGATATTTAATATTAAAAACACCTGTGGATTCCTGTTGACAACAATGTACTTGCATCTTTGTTTACTTGTGGTTATTTCCTCAAATGCAAAAGTGTGTGGAAGTGAAAATCGGGTTGGGCTGTATGACCATACGAGGAATGTGTCAGCCGGTGGAGAGTCTGTTATACTGTGGCAGCTATTAGTGGGCCAAATGACACTCATGCCCTCTTACAACACACCTACACTATATTGTTCAATTTTAAGATTGCTGGCGACAGCTGATAACAGTTCTCACTTGACTGATTAACAGAACTGTTACATTCGCTTTGTATAAACTTACAGTAAATCCTATATAAAACCATTTATACATTATACACAGACTGTAAAATGAACACATAAGCACTCGTTTCTCAGAATGTTCTGTGCAAAGATCATACCTGCTTAAAAATACTTTCTATATAAGAACAGTTGATGGGGAATACTGAGGTTGAACAACTATATGCTATGCAATGTGTGTCGTCTTCAACATATTCTTGCCTTAATTTCGGAAACTTTCATACCTGTAAGCTCTGTGGGTAAACTGTTATTCAAGCTATTTCTATTGTCTATAATGGGCACATTTTTCATTTTCTCCAGGTTTTGCTGCCAGGAGTGAAAAAAGGCATAATCGCACATTCCTTCCCTATCATTGGCTAATAGATAAGAGTGTTTAGATTTGCCATTGAGAGAAAATATTTTTGAACTGAAGGTTGAGATTTTGAGAAAGGTAATGTCCAGACACAGATTTTTGAAATCAAACAGACAACTGTTAGTGAGTGATTGTGTGCATAACAGCTCTCTGAGGAACCAAGGGAGGCAGTTCCTTGTGGAAAAAAGAAAGATGAGCAAAAAAGTTAATGTTATTCCGTATGTGCCTTTAATCCAGAAACCTTTAAACATCACATGGAAGTGGAACATGATTTTACATTGTGCAAAAAACACAAAAAGGTAACATTGCCTCCTTATTTTAGATGCACATCCTGTTGGATGAATACACAAGAGAAGGAAACATTTAAGAGTGAAGGAATGTCTCACTGCTGTGGTAAATATTTAAGTCAAGAGAGAAAAGACTCTTTCATCTTTCCGCACTTGGAACAAGTAAAACCACCAAGAGTGCTGAACCTCATTTACCTCCAACATGTCTGTGTGTGCATAGGCCATGGAAGGCATTTTGAATGGGTCGAGCCAAGAATGACATCAAAACGCCATAATTAGCGCCTCTCGCTGAATGTTTTGCTCTTGCCATGACTATAGCATAAAACAACTAGTATATATACACAGTAGCCAATAGGGATTTAACAATTCACTCAACTCACGATTCGATTCGATTCACGATTTTGATTTCGCGATTCGATTCGATTATTTTATTATTTTTTAACAAAATGAGATTTAAGACAAATTATAAATTAAATGTGTCCTTTTATTATTATGGCTTGGACAAAATGCTGCACATTTCTTTGTGAAATTGAAATATAACACTATTATAATAATATACTAATATCCAGTGGCGGCTCGTGCGTTTTAAAATAGAGGAGGCACACTAATTGTATTGGTCTGGGATCCTTGCCGATTATTATTATTATTATTATTTGCTTAACCACTTTAAAATGGCTTTTTGTTTGCTTTTAGTCAGAAAACGTAAAGAAAACGACATACATACAGCAAGATAATATAATTTCACTTACCTGGCCTATCACTTGAAGCAAACATCCATCCCTTCTTAAAAGTCTGTGTTGCTGCATACATGCAACATGAGCAGTTTTTAAACTAAATTAGATTGTATAATTTTGAAATTTGAAGCAAAAACAGAATGGTTTGACTTCAGTTTTGTGAAACTATACATAAAAATATCTGAGCGAAACAGCAGACGAGCTGAATGAGATGCAGATTCACTCTTTGCCTGCAGGTGGTGCTTAAAGCGTTTCCTTGGTTTCCACTATAAACAGCAGCGCTGCACTTGTGAACTTTAATATGCATTATACAGAGGCAAGATGAAAAGAAAAAATACCATCGAAAGACAGTAAGTTCCC